CCTTTAGCATTCTGCCAAAGTTTGGTCGTTCATAGAGAGATCCTTGTTGCATTGCACCCGCTTGAATATCGATGAGATCATTTTTATCTCATGGCCTTACCCTAGCCAAGCCAGCCTATTTGAACATTGCATCATTTGATTCACCGGTTACAAACTTAATGAATGTGAAAGAGTTGAATGTGATAATGACTTGTGGAGATTCCGTGCTTTAGTTGGAAAATATCTGAGTATAGCTTTGCATTGCATATATGAGCATGAATCCGAGTTCTCTTTGTGGTCACTTCTCTCTAAAAAGGAAATATGAGCTCCATCTGCATTACAACCTCTCTCTCTCATTTGTTCTTTTTGCTTGAGGACAAGCAAAGGACAAGTGTGGGGGAGTTGATATGTCTACATTTTACATCATTTAGATTGCATTATAGAGTCCTCATCATGTGTTTTCTCATGTAAATTGAGTCTTTAGGCGTCAAAATAGGACTTAGGGCTTGCATTAGGTCCCAAAGAGTTTTGCATGTTTTGAAGTCTTTATCAGGAGCTTTGGAGACCAATTGGAGCCTAAGAAGAGGAACAGAAAAGAAAATGGTGAAGAAAAGGGTCAAAAATGGTGAAAATCGCTTGGAGGAATTTCTCGGCCAAATCTCGTACCGGCTGGTCGGAAACCTCGACCAAAATGTTTACCGGATGCTCATTACCGGCCAAAAACCTTACCGATCGGCCAGAATTGAGTATCGAGTGCAAAAATACCACGGGACAAGTTTTTGACCGAGGCAAGGATTTTTACGACCAAAAAGCTTACCGCGGTACACAGCCCTCGGCCATTTTCCTTACCGCGGGAAGGTTTTTACGACCAAAAGTTGTCCTTGCCCGCGCCATTCAGAGATCAGCAATCCGGGGAACCTTCCGGTCCGAATCAGTTGGCGAGGTCTTCACCAAAGTTGGAGATAATCAAGCAAAGATTCCAGAACAGTTAGAATCATCCAATTCGGACCAGTGGAGAGAAAGATATGGCTTCCGGAGCATACACCAGCATTGCGCGTACCCGAGAACTGAACGGCGAACTTCAAAGATCATGGCGGACGGAGCTCCTCCTGTCCGAACCAGCTTACCCAGTGTTCACCAAAGTTCGAGCTTATTGAGTCATCTTGACTGTGGAACTGGTTTCAGAGCAATTTGAGTCGTGTGCTGAAAGTTACTGCTTCCGGAATGTGACATGGTCGATACAAGCCTAAATGAGTTGCGATACGCGCTAAGTGTTTTCACAAGCCTCGGTATCTCTACCTTGGCATCACTCAAGTCGAGGCTCATATCTTGGAAGTATTCTGGACTAGACCTCGTGCCAAAGCCTTGGCATGATTAGATCGAGGCATGCATACGTAAGAACTGAAGCTGGAAACGACTAAGTGTTGAAAGTACACCTCGGTGTAATGACCTCGGCGTGCATGCCCGACTGTGTTCTCCCAAGCACCTCGACATCATGACCCCTCGACATTTTATCCCGAGGTCCCTTGTCACGAACCCAGAATCAAGAACAGAATGGCTCAAGAACACACACGTGAGGATGGATCAAAGACTAGGGTTCATGCATGTTCTTGACGTGTTCTTCACGAGATCTTCATCTGGATCCTGACTCACGTGCACACCTCGGCATGAAGACCTCGGCTTCACTTTCCGACACACCGTGGCACTCACCCATCAACCCAAGGAAGCGGTTCAGTACCCGGTTTGTTCCGGGCTGACCCGCGACACTTTCCCTTTGCTATAAATACATTTTAGGACCAAAAACCTAATCATCTTATCTTTTATCTCCATTTACGTTTAAGAACTTGCCTCTTTTGTGAAACCAGATTAATCTAATCCGATATCTCGTTTTTTGCATCTGAATCTTGTTCTTTCTTTATTCTTCTTTTATTATCAGCATTAAACTCCTAATCATGACCAGCTACACGTCTTGCAAAGGACTTAGTGAGCTCGTTATGATCAGTGAGTAGTCGTTTAAGCGGCTTTAGATAAGTAGATTAGGGTGCTTTCAAGATAGATTAGTGGGTTTAGGTGTCTAGTCTTGCATGTTTCATTCTTTAACCGACGAGATCTCTAGGCTGGATCCAAGCATATCACTTGAGGTTCAGATCTGAGGCATATCTCGCATCAAAAGTGTTTGTAGAAATGTCTGAACCACTCGGTTAAAGGTTTAAGAGTCTTTCATCGCGAGAGTGATAGTTTGTTCTCTTAAATGACATATTTGAACTGAATCTTATTGCTGATTGATTCGTGCTTCTCAAAAGACATTTTGGTATGAAGGAGGATCAGTTTAGATGTTTAAAACTTTCATGAGAAGATTAACATGCCTTGAGTTCAAAGTTAAATGAAATCGCTTGACAAAATAATTGATTAACCCATTAGTTTAGCTTGGAAGCACCCGAGTCGATTATCTTGTCTAGAGTCTCTTCCCTTATCGCATATTATCATCATCTGAATCACCTGTTTGTTGTTTGCATCTTGATTAGTTTAAATCTCTGCTTTTATTTAATTTTATTGCTTATTTGCCTGTTAATCATCGTCACCAAACTTTTATCTTCTTGTCTTGACTTAAGTGAACAAATGACATAGGCTAGTGTCTCGTTTACAAGCTTGGTTTGACACCCCTTATACTACTTTGACAAGGGGATTGATAACCCTTCTAAGAGCCTCAAAACTCTTAGTTTCACCATCACTTCAAACGATCAATGTGGTTTACTCTTATGTTTAATGCTTTCGTACCCAAACTATTATACGAGCTATATTCAACGTGATAAACGATTATCTACGAACAAAAACATCCCCATTGCAATGTCCAAGATAATAAGTAAATATCTACTTTGTTACCCCATGACATTGTTATCACATAACATTTGTTAACACATAACTTTGTTGCCCATATAACATGTAGTCTTCTAACTGCACATGCGGTATACGCTTTACGATTTCCCCCCAAACTATTTTACCAGTTATGTTCACCGTTAACTTAGTTATCAGATAACTTTTTCGTACAAAATATATGTGTATCAGCTAACTATTTTCTTTCTTTGTTTTACTTTCACACCCAACCAATTTTAGTACTGCCAACCGCTACGTTTTTCTTTACACAATCAATGACCAACGGCAAACAACCCTTACTCTTATGTTAGCAAATAACAAAGTTAACACATATTACCAGTACACAATCTCCGTTCTTTACCATCACTTCAAACTATCAATATGGTTTACTCTTATGTTTAATGCTTTCGTACCCAAACTATTATACGAGTTATGTTCAACGTGTTAAACGGTTATCTACTAACACAAACATTCCCATTGCAATATCCAAGATAATAAGTAAATATCTACTTTGTTACCCCATGACATTGTTATCACATAACATTGTTAACACATAACTTTGTTAAGCATATTGTGTGAACCAAAACTCGCACAACCAAAAATTTTGTAAGGAAAACTTAAGGGATCCGAAATTTCTAGGGTAATCGCAAGAATAGTAAGATCAAAAGAGGGTTTTTATTGCTGTGAAAGTGTTTAGTCTTTATTGCTTAGGGTTGCAAAAAGTTACAGAATGAATTGTATACATCGTCTATTTATACTAATTCTCTGAACCGCCTAGCTGAGAATCTCGGGAGAGATTTTCGGAATATTTCCTTATCGCTTCGTGCGGCCACCGTCATGATACTTCGCCTAGGATTTCTATGGGCTTTCGTCTTTCAAGGCCTTGGTTCGGCCCAATTGTGGAAGGAAGTAGCTCGACCCATTCTCCTTCTTAAGCGGCTCGGCCCATTCGCTTTCTTCCACAGCTCGGCCCACTGAACATCCTTCCTGCGGCTCGGCCTACTTGTCACTCTTCGTGGCTCGGCCCGTTTGTAATGTCGAGCACGGCTCGGTCCACCTTTCTCATGTGAGAGCTCGGCCCACAACGGATTTCTCATGCCAACCGGTTTTCTCTGATACTTGATCATTCTCGAGATGGTTTAACCGCTTGGGGTGGAAACCGACCCCAACAGTTAGCCCCCCAGCTCGTCAGTTTTGGAGACGAGAGTGACGAGGTTCATTACTCTTGACCATAGGATATACCATCGAGTCAGGACGTTGCGACATAATTCTAGGTGAGGCGTTTTGGAAATAAAGATGCCGAGCTGTCCTTCGACGAAGCGTAATAGCGAGCCGTCTCGTTAGTGACGAGGCGTTTTTCGAAAAGATGCCGAGCCGAATAAGCGGCGAGGCGTTTTTTTTTTTAAAAGATGTCGAGCTGAATCACTAACGCCGAGCCATTTCGCGTTTAACGATGAGGCAACGATGTGAAAACTATTCCGAGCCGTTTCATGTAAGGAATAACGACGAGGCGAATAACGACGAGGCGTTTTAATGAAGTTGCCGAGCCGCTTTGCGTTAATGATAACGACGAGGCGTTTTTTCTAAGAAAGTCACCGAGCCATTTCGTGTTAATGATAACGACGAGGCATTCTTATGAGATTGCCGAGCTGTATCGACAAAGCATGGTTCGGTTCACGCAGCTTGTGGGCTCGGTTTATCTGGACAACTCCATACGGGAAGCGTTTATCAGCCGTTAGTTCTCTCTAAGACGTTTGGGTGTTGGCGCGTATGACGGACGCGCCAGGAAGTTACGCATTCGCCGCGGACTTCACGCACCTTCGTTTATTACCTCTGCGCCATCCCGTGGTTTACGCGGACTCCACGCGCTTCGGTCGTTTTATAAATAGGTGAGCTTCTCATAATCTCCAGATCTCTCATTTTTACTAAAAGGTAGCTCTCCCTTCTCTCTTCTTTCTCTCTCTAGTTTATTTATTTTTCAGCTAGGGTTCCGAGATTTTCGCCGTCTCAGATCTTTTTCTGGCAAACCTTGTTGTAAAACGCTGTAATTTTGGTACGAGCTGTAAAATATGTCGAGCCGTTCGGGAAATTTGCTTGAACCCCTATTCTTTTATGAAACGAGCCGTGCGGATGCCGCAGCGGGGAGTATGACGAGATCCTCCGAGGCATCTGCGTCGCCGAGCCCTTCCAAAAATTCTGCCGAGGCTCATGATGTGTCGAATTCTCTGAGCCCTTCAGGCACTTGTTCTGTTAGTAACGAGGCGTCTGCTTCGACGAGCTGTCATCGAGGTCCTGTCAACCAAGAGGAGGTTGACTACGCCGCGGTTAAGGCCGAGGAAGAAGTGTTTTCTTTCGACCCGGTTGAGGCGAGGCTTGAATTAGAGCGGCTTATGGCATCCCGTGGCGCATCTTCTTTTGGGATGGGAAAACCCAAACAGGTGAAAAGGCAAAAACCTGATCCTCCCGGTTCCACACTCTCTTCCCTCGTGTCGCTCGAGGCGTTGCGTCATCGTTTTGGAATATCTGAAGCGGTTGAATTCGTCGTTCCGGAGAAGAGTGACCGAGCCGACAAGCCTCCCGAAAATCATTTCACCTTATACGAGGCGTTTTTCGAGCTCTGCTTCCTATGGTTCCCAATCCCTAGAGTTATCCTTGAATACTTGTGGGAGCATGGATTTCGATCGGGCAGATTATGCCGAGAGGTTTGCGACATATGATCGGCATCCTGGTTCGGAGCTTCAAATGTGGTGTCGAAATCGAGCTCGGTCATCTGCTCAATCTGTTGGAAATCCGGAGAGCCCCGGGAGGAGGCAGATTTTATATTTCCAATAAGTCTAATCGCCGGATCATAGGCGGTTTCCCGAACAAAGATCAGTTTTGGACTGAACGTTTCTTCTATGTTTTGGTGAACGAGGCGTCGGTGGGCGAGGATTTTGTAAATAAGACGAAGACCATTTGGGGACCACTTGGTAGTCGATCCGAAGCCTTGTTTTGGCTCGTAGCTTGTTTTGGTGTGATTTCCATTTTCTGACTTAGTCGTTTTGACGTTGTTTTGCAGTTCGGAGTTTTTTTCCTCCTGTCCCCGACGACCTTTTCTCCGTTCGAGATACTCTTGCGGCTCGGAAGGTCAACTGGAGAAAGCATTTTTCTTTCGAGAGAGTAGAGGGAGCCCGAGCTATCTTCGCCGGGGTGTCTATCAGTTCCTCGTCATCAAATTCATCGGGAGATACGCGAGAGAAAATGGTGATCATTACGCTCAGGGATAAGAAGCGATGCGAAGCCGAGGAGATTGCTAGGAGAGCCGAACAAGCAGCTCCTGCGGAGACCGAGGCGGTACCTCGGGATGACCCGCCGAGGCATGAGGGGGAGGAAGTCGCCCGAGCTGCTGACGAGATCGCTCTCGAGGCGACGGCGCAGGAGGCAGCGCTCGAGGTAGAACCGGGCGAGATTGTTCCCGACGCGTCTGGGGAGAATTTCGCGGCTCGGGATAAAACACTGCCCACCTCGGCGATTCTGGCCCTTCCGAAACAATCGAGGCCTCCGGCTTCAAATCTGCTGAAGCATGATACCAGCAGAAAGAGGTCGGCTATGGAAAAGGGCAAGGGGGTGGCCATCCAAAAAGACAAGCCGTCCAAAAAGAAACGTAAGTCGGTGCCCAGCGAGCCCGTATCTCGTAAGCTGGTTGTTGATGACCCGGCTGCTTCCGCGGTAATGTTCGCCCGCGTCAACAATGCCAACTATCGTCTACCGCCTCCCGAGCAACTGAGGCGGTCGAAATCCTATGCTGCCATGGCGCAGCGCGGTACCAAGGTACCTTTCTAATTTGCTTCTTCCTTGTTATCACGTAGTCTTTGAATCTAAGGAGTCAACTGATTTTGCAGTTTGTCGCGGCTATCAACTAGATGATTGCCGGCTATGAATCAGACTTGGTTAAGGACGAGCGCCGCTTGGAGGAGGCTCAGAAGGAGGCTGCGACGGCTAAGGGAAAGTTGGACGAGGCGAGGGCCAAGATTAAGAAGCTAGAAGAGGAGAAAATAACTCCCTCAGCCAACATTGACAAGGTGTCGCCCGTGGTGACTCATCTTGAAGAATCTAAGATAGCCAAAGGTGCCGAGGTGGCTTTGTTGCAGAGGCGTATCGAGGTCAAGGATGCCTTGTTCGACGCCAAGGTCAAGCGCGCGAAGAAGGAAGCGAGGCGCGAATTTTCCGCCAAATTCCAAAGCACCTCGCCAAAGTGGAGGAAGGTCTCGCCAAGCTCGAGAAGGCCATGAGTGATGAGAACGAGTTGGGGCAAATCAAGAGCAACCTTGCTATGATCGACGAACTCCGGAAGCCCGACGGCTTGACTTTGGATGCCGAAGAGGCAAAGTTAAAGAATTGGGAGAGTGAGTACGTCCATGACGAGGCGTACGAGCGCATCGCATCCGAGATCCAGGGCGAAATGGTCTTTTCTCCCGTATCGCTGGATTCCATCGACACCTGCTTGGGTAACGAGCCGATTGAAGAAACAGCGGCTAATCTGGGCGTCGAGGATCCGACCGGATCGAACACGGGTACGCCGGCTCTTACGAACCTCCTTGTCGAGCGGGAGACGCAATCTGCTGCTTGACTCTTCTGTTTTCTACCTTGTGTTTACATTCTCCTTTTTGTGCTAAGTGCCTGGATGGCGTTATACGTTTTTCAGACTCGTATGTATTTTTGCTGTTGGCGCTTGGATTGATTTTCAGACTGATGGCATGATTTTTCTATAAATATATCTACCTTCTTTGTTCTTTCTTAGCGATATTGAGGATTTATGTTTATCGTTTCGTGACCAACTCTGTTGGACGGAGAATGTCTTTGTCCCCGAGCCGTTAGAATAGTTTGGTCGGGACAGGCTATCTTATATTGAATAGACTTTGTTTAAGTTGAAAGGTCCCGAGCTGGGGGTTATCTCTTTAAAGAGATTGTCGTTCTTTTGTGCTTTTGACCGTAAGTGCCGAGGCGTTTGAGTTAAGAAAGAGATAGTGCAAGGGAAATTTACGTCGGATTTAGTTTTGGCCGTTTTGAGGCGCTAAGTTTGGAACTCTTGTTGCCGAGGTCCATGTCTTGAGACGATATCGAAGTTTGATCGTAGACCGGCGTTCTCGAGAGGGTGAATGCGTTTGCCGGGTTTTAAGAGTTCGTTTCGGTTTTAGAGAAAGCGATGTAGTCTCGACTTACAGTCTCGTGTGCGATGACGAACCGTGGTGACCGATACGTTTTTGGTCAGAAATTTGTATAGCACGCTTGATTTTAATCCATAGAGGATGTAGCTTGCACCCTCGTTCTAGGGAAGGTGGTTAAAAGTCCATTTAGAGAACTTTGTGAATGTTGCCTCGCTGTGGCCAGCAACGAGCCGAGGTGTTTGGAAACGTAGCGTGTCGAAGTGAATGCAAGGACAAGAAAAAGTCTAGGGGAAGTGTACATAAGTGATGAGTCAAAACTAGCCGAAGTGACAAATGAACGAATTAAAAATCTGAGGTGAATATGATACAACTGACTGGTTTTAAACGAATGGAAAACTGGCCGAAGTGGCAATGACCCTAGAGATAGTAGACGAGCTAAACTTATAGAGTTAATGAAGGTATGTGTATACGTACCCACTTCCCCCCTTTTTTAGGAGGGGGGACAGCTGAACCCGTCCGAGGACGGGCTGCCTACGTACCCTTTGCAGGGATCAAGCCGTCTCGAAGTTCATGTTGAGCGTGTTGTGGCCTTAGTGATAATACTTCTTCAGGTGCATTGCATTCCACGATCTTGGAATTGCTTCGTCAGCTACCGTCGCAAGTTTGTAGACTCCTGGGCGAACTACTTCTTTAAATCTTCGACTTCGGACATTTTTGTTGTAGTATCTCACCGTTGCTTGTTGGTAGTTCTGGATTCGGATTAGAGCCTGGTCGCGCCTTTCGTTGACCAAATCGAGCTCGTCCAGCATCATTAAGTGATTCAAGCCCTCCTGTCCTGGCAGAAGTCTTCGTCGAATACCTGGGAAATCCACCTCGGGGGAAATTACGCATTCCGCTCCATAGACTAGAGCGAATAGAGTTTCTCCAGTAGCTCGGCGCGGAGTTGTCCGATGCAACCAAAGGACTCCTTCGAGCTCGTCTGCCCATTGTCCTTTCTTGGTGTCGAGCCTCTTTTTCAGACCGTCTAGGATCGTCTTGTTGGCTGCTTCGGCTTGTCCGTTCCCTTGGGGATATCTTGGCGTAGATTTGCTCAAACGAATTTTCCATTTCTCGCAGAAAGCTTCAAAGCGCGTTGAGATGAACTGGGATCCGTTATTGGTGACTATCTCGTAGGGGACCCCATGTTGGCAGATGATATTTTTCCAGACAAAGTTTTCGACTTGGGCGTCCTTTATGCTCGCGTAGGAATCGGCCTCGACCCACTTAGAAAAATAATCCGTGAGGACGAGCAGAAAGTGCTTCTGCTTCGATCGATGTAGAGGTCCGACTATATCCATCGATCATCTCATGAAAGGATAAGGTGACGAGATCGATGACAGCAGCTCGGTAGGTTGGTGGATTGTAGGTGCATGCCGTTGACATTTCTCGCACTTCGCTGTAAACTTCTCACAGTCCTTGACCATCGTAGGCCAGAAGTAACCGTGCCGTTTTATCTTGATCGCGAGTGATCTTTCGCTAGAATGGTTTCCGCACGCACCGCTGTGCACTTCGTGCATTATCTTTCTTGGCTCCGGTCCCTCGACGCATGTCATGAGCGGTCCTGAAAATCTCCATTTAAACACCTCGCCGTCGACAAGGACATATCGCACGGTCTCAGCTTTTAATTTGCGGGCTTCCCACCTGTCGTATGGTACTTCTCTATCGGCGATATATACTCGGATGGCTCCGAGCCATTCTTTGTCGCAGCCGTACTCCAGCTCGGCTGGTGAGGCGTCTTCATCCATAGCGATTGCTTCGCCGCTCTCTGGTTCCTGCTCAGGAGGATTTATCAGCCGAACTCCTTCTACCTCTTCGATGCTATGACGTTCGATGAATTCGACTGGAATTGTCCGTCGGAGATCCGGGTCTGAAGTCGAAGCAAGTGCTGCCAAGGCATCTGCCGAGGTGTTTTTACCTCGGGGTATTCGTGTGAGCTCGAACTCGTCGAACTTTTGCACCAAATCTTGTACCACTTTGAGGTAAGCTCCCATTCGTCCATCCTTCGCCTCATACTCCCGTTGAATTGACATGCTACGAGCTGTAAATCGCAAAAGGCTCTTATCTTTCAAACTCTGATTCCCTGTGCCAGTCGTATGCCAACGATCAGTGCTTCGTATTCTGCTTCGTTGTTCGAGGCGTGGAAGTTCAGAAGAAAAGACTGCTCCAATATTTCCTCGGTGGGAGAGGTGAGACGGATTCCTATTCCCGATCCGTGTTTAGACGACGAGCCGTCGACGTGCAGCATTGATGCGTGCTCGTGTCAACTACGTGAGGGAACAAGTTTTACCCTTAACAAAACAAATGAAAGCCGCAAGTGCACAGTTAATCATTTGTAGTATTTAGGGATCGAATCCACAGAGATTTGTGTGCCTGGTATTCTTCTACGGTTTTTAACTTTATGTCTAGACTAAATTGGTTTTAAAGGTTGGTTGTTTTTCTTGCGAATTAAACTAAAACAAAAGAAAGCAAATAAATCTATCCTAAAAAGCAAGTAAAGAAAATCGAATGAAATGTAAATTGAATAAGTAAAATATCGAACTAAACAAAAATAAGGCAAGTAAAATATCGCATGAAAGGTAAATAAAGCAAGTAAATAACGAACTAAGGAAATTGAAATGCAGGTCTAAGAAAGCAAGTAAAAATCGATGGAATTGTAAACTATGGCTAAAAACGCTGAGCTTTTGGGAACTCTAAGGGATCATAATCGGTTTTAACACTAAGGTAGATAGATTGGGATTGACGGATAACAATATATGGGTTCTAGAGCTAGAGTACGGCGGTATGACTACGTCACTGTCGTGATCATAACCAACTGTTTCTCGCAACCCTGACCAGTAGGTTTCCACTCTGGCCCTGGAAGGGAGAGAACACAAGAGCTGCAAAAGACTCGTTAATACTCACGATCTCGCCGCAGGTAGGTTTCCACTCCTACGGAAAAATCGCCTGTTTCATTCTAGGGCTGATACTTAATGAAAACTTTCGCAACACTAACTATCTAGATCAGACACTAGGTGATCAATCAAGCATACATGCAATAAGAACAAGAATAAACAGAGAACAGGTCGAAATCCCAGATCTATAAACCTAGATGTCTTAATCGATTATGAGAGCCCCTTTCGGGAACCCTAAGCCCAACTCGGGATCTACTCAGACATGGCTGAGTTCGACATCATCATTGGTTTTAATAAAAGTAATGAAAAACAGTAAAGAAAAAAGATAAAGAAAGCTTCTCTATTGAAGAACTCGGACTTGAACAATCTTCTACAAAAATATCAAAAAAAGGTTAAAGGAAAAGGGTTTCTGTAAAGTATGAATGGCTCTCTCTAAAAACGACCTAAATGACATGTATTTATAGTCTCCAATACTCCATGGTCTCTAGGGTTCCGGAATTGAGGCTGGGAATGACTTTGGGCTTCAGATAAGTGGGCTTTAAGTCGGAGCTTGAATGCCGCGGTCGGGAGTGTTGTGACCGTGACAATTGGCTTGTTGGCCGCGGTCGGGAAGCTTCTGACCGCGGCAAATAGCTTGTTGGCCGCGGTCGCGTGAGTTGCTGGCCGACTCCACGTGGCTCCGGGGCTAATGAAATATCTTGAGATCCAACCGTTGGAATGTCTCCTAACCAAGTGCATTTGAAAGCTGGTTGATTCTTCTATAAGTTGTCCAATTTTGAGGGTGATCAGACAGTGAGAATGTCTTCGTCTCTCCATGATAGTTCTGACGGTCTGCATTTATCCAAAAGAGTCTTTTTGTTCCATTTTGTGCCTCTTTATCCCAAATTATCTGAAAAGTCTTTTAAAATCCGGAAACATAGAAATCCTTTGAAAACCTTTGAAATTGGAGTAAAAACACCTGTAAAAGATATTAAAATGATCCATAAAAATGGCCAAAATCCGGTGTTATCAAGCATCCATACTTCGTTTGGGGTCGGCTCAATCGTTGCCTCGGTCGGAAGTTCGATGAGAAAATCTGCGAGCACCTGTGATTTTGCAGACGACCTGTTCTGATACTCGATGTCTTACTCGCTTAACTCTATGGCCCATTTGGCGAGCCGCCCGGATTGGCTCGGGCTGTGTAGGATTGAGCGC